GTATCCTCATAAGTTCGTAACAGTCATGCAACATAGTTAAGTACGCTATATGATGTGGTATTTATATTATATTCATTTAAAATAACGTTTACAGCATGTTTATAATCTAGTCAATTACAATTTTAGGTAATTTGTAGTTAAACTCGAATTTGAGTATTTTAAATTCTTAAGAAAGAGAGAAAAGAAGGCAGCCAAATAGCTTACCAACTTTAATAACTTTCCTATTAGAGTAAATGTCAGAAGAGATCGTGTCCACAAGAGAGTTATGGAAATTTAAATGTTTTTCTAGTCTCTTTAGGTAACGTTGCCTCGCTCAGTATGCGGTGACATTATTGGTGGTTCCGATCCACATTCCATACGCTCTCTTTGTTTCCCGTCCTCCTTCTTCTTTTCCACATTCTGCGCGACCAAGCGATTCCCGTCGCGTTCTTTGTTCTTCGATACAAACAGCCGTTCCTCACCTCGTTCAAATGACTCAAGACATAGCTCGTTGCAATGCCACCTATTTCGATCGCACTTGTTTCGTCATCTTCTCCTCGCCATTCTGTTCATTGCTTCGCCAATCCCTGTGGGATTTCATTCACCTGGACCCTGCGCAGCTGACTTGGTCATGGGGAGTAGCTATGCGATCACATATGCCCCGAGACAAAGCTCACTTTGAGCACCCATTTCTTTCCCAGCACTTCCATCAAATGCGCTCGGAAGGTGCGATTGCAACGCCGCCTTAGTTCTCTACCACGCTCATACATGACAATCCATTGAGTGTCTGACCGGAAAAAGGGCTGGGCGAGGCATGGGTAGCAGATCAACCGCCGTTCGTATCGATTTCTCAAGTATACCCCTAACCCTATGCATTTAAAACCCAACCCGTCTTACACTGCAAACATCGTTCATCAACCAGCACATCTTGCCTTCGCAGGCTCCTCCTTGGGTTTGAACCACAAGGTCACAGTTACTCCGAGACATAGTCAGGAACACCATTTCGTTGCGCCATGCTATACCTCGCAGAGGGCCATACCAAGTGGTTGGGTCCCCGGGATATACCATCAAACACCATCATCCCGGTATTGAACACCGGCGATGCGTTCCTTCGCATCAGTTACCACCTTGCGCCTGAGAACCAGTGCAAGGCCATATCAAGGGAAATCTACATGTGTCCGACTCTTCACTATCATGCCTGGTGAATTTTCTAGGCAGTATCATAAATGAAATGTATCACACCTTCTACACTTCGGACCGTGACACAGCAACCCGGGAGGGATACCCATACGTGCACATATCTGGGCAGTTACGCAGCAACACCATGCCTTCTTGAGCGACGCATGGCAGATGGACCCTTTGAACAGACCCGACTTCCTCTTCACAAATAAAGTTGCAGTAGTGATGCATCGTGTTAGCCATGGCATGCTACATAAAGCATGCGGAGATCTGGAAGCTTCAAGTGAGCGATGATCCATCCAAATACAACACAGTAATGGATCCCGGCCACGTTTGGCGGTGGTTGCGTCTCTCTCGTCTTTTTTTTTTGTTGATCAAGGAATGGAGAGCTTGGCGATTTGCCTCGTTGCAACTTCTTGTCGAATGCTATCACACTAGAGCCTCCGACCGCATGTGAAGGTCTTGCTGTCACCGCTTTTGGAAAAGCTCATGCATCTTGATTCATGGTCGCGGTTCTCATGTAGGTCAAATTTTTCAATTTGGGTTTTGGCCATAATGTTTCACATGGCTCCAGAGGTTACAGAGAACTGATGGAATCCCTTCTTAGGCCGGGTTAACTCAACAAACTATTATACAGCATCTGCTTCCGGTAAGGAGGATTGCATACAAGTCCACAACTAACATCTATGAACATCACGAGGTCACCTTGACAGATATCGCCGGGAATGTACGGTATCGAAAAGTAGTTGCATTCGGTACGGTCGCACAACACACATTCATCGCAGAGTGGTTCACCGTTGGAACTTGGCTGGAACGCAACCAATCAGACATCTGGATATTAATTCGGTACCTTATTCCCCGATATCTGGATCTCCAACAACTCCAACCGTTCCAATCATATTATATCAGCGACCCACGGACTCTTGACCGTTACTAGACATGCAAAACAATCTGCCAAAGAGCCTTTCTTTGGCCGCTTCCTGACCTCGATAGCACCAGTCATCAGCACACAATCAAAATCAGGACCTGAATTTCACTCTCCCACGGTTATCAAGTTATCCCGCTCAGGACGCGCAGCCTCGATGTTCAGATGCAATAACTATTGTCGCTTGGTAAGTCACGACAATATGGCTCGTCCGTACCTCGTCCCGGTCCACCTCCGTTCTCCAGTTCGAAGTGATGGAATGGGGTCATGAGAGAATGAGGAGTAAGATATCGTGGGGTAAAACCCGGGGTTTGGCGGAGACAGTGTCCACCAGCAAGACGGGTGTAACGCCTGGAAAGGGACAAAGCTGTTGGCGTTGTTGGTCATGGCTGGGCATGGCTGGGCATGGTGTCGGTCTTGGCTGGCTTCTTTGAGCTTGAGCGTGCTTCTCCCGTGGTTTGCGCTTCAATCAAGGTTCACGCCAGTTCTTGGCCAGCCCCTTGTCCTTCCGCCGCCCCTTTCTCCGATCAGCGCGGAGAACTGCCGAAACGGCTCGAGTTGTTGCATGGCATGTCCCCCAACCCGTCGCTTTTCGTCAATTTTGTCACTTGAAAGTTGGAGAAGGAGACGAAAGCTTAGAAGCGCACCAATAGCTGCCCCGGACGGTCTCCGCATCCCCGCATTCCCGCACCCCGCAATTCTCGTCTTGCGTCCCCTGCTTCCGCTCGGCTGCCATGCTCAACCAAGGGCAGAGTGGACCTGGACTTGGATACCCTGGGGCTTGATTGGAGGAACATCCAACTTCCTCCTGTCTCTCACACGACAGTGACCAGCCGCCTTGCTTGTCTCACAGTCTCGCCCGACTTTTCTACAGCTTTTTACCGCCGTGCTACATTCTGGCCCCGGTCCGTCGCCCGAACCAACAACAACATCCTTCTTCGGCCTTACCAGCGCCAGAACACAGCATGGACCCCACTTCACGAATGGTATCACGGTAACGTTAGACCGAGGGAAAGAGGTCATCTTCCCCGGTTTCATTGCAGGCCAGGCATCAACGTCCCCTCCGGGGATGCCTGCATCCTTTGCACGAGTGATGCAACGTGAAGGCGATTCCAAGTTGATGGTCCTCCGGCCGGGGGGTGGGGACTCGGGTTCTGTATCGGCGGAAAACATATGTATAAGGAGGACTCCCAGATCTCGACCGAAGAAAGAAGCCGGCGTCTCTGTTCAAGACTTTGTCTCTTTTCAACTCGTCGAGATATATCCGTAGTCAGCGTAACTGCTGCGGAAGACAGTCAAGATGGGGCTCGGGCTTAAGCTACCGACAATCTACAATGTCCACCTCGTGGCTATCATTGCCACCTTGGGTGGTGCACTGTAAGTTCTTTCACTGCCTTCACGTTACTCAACTCGATGTTTTGGTTACAGAGACACAAAGACATGACAAGATGCTAACTACTTTTGATCCCCCAGTTTCGGCTTCGATATCTCTTCCATGTCCGCCATCGTTGTAACCGAACAATATCTCACTTACTTCAACAACCCCTCCGGTGTCATCCAAGGAGCTATCGGCTCTGCCCTCGCTGCCGGCTCAGTCGTCGGTTCCGCCGTCGCCGGTCCTCTCTCCGACAAGATCGGTCGCCGTGACTCCATCTTCTTCGCCTGCTTCTTCTGGCTCATCGGCACCGCCGTCCAGGTCGCCTGCCAGAACTATGGCCAACTCATCGCCGGCCGTGTCCTCAACGGCTTCACCGTCGGCATCACCTCCTCCCAGGTCCCCGTCTACCTTGCCGAGATCGCCAAGGCCGAGAAGCGTGGTTCCTTGGTCATCATCCAGCAGCTCGCCATCGAGTTCGGTATCTTGATCATGTACTTTATCGGCTACGGCTGTGCGTCGATCGAGGGCCCTGCTTCCTTCCGGACGGCCTGGGGTATCCAGTTCGTCCCCTGCTTCTTCCTCATGATCGGTCTTCCCTTCTTGCCCAGGTCACCCAGATGGCTGGCCAAAGTCGGCAGAGATCAGGAGGCCATTCATGTTCTGGCTAACATCCAGGCTGACGGCAACGTTGATGATCCCAGAGTCGTTGCCGAGTGGGAGGAGATTGTCACTGTCATGAACGCTGAGCGTGAGGCTGGCCAGGGATGGAGGAAGTTCGTCAAGAACGGCATGTGGAAGCGTACCATGGCTGGTATGACTGTGCAGGCTTGGCAGGTACGTAATTTTTTTCCCTTCCTTTCCCTCCTTTTACCGCATCAATTACAAACCAGCGACTAACACCCCCTCAACAGCAACTCGCCGGCGCCAACGTAATCGTCTACTACCTCACTTACATCGCCCAAATGGCCGGTCTCACAGGCGACGTCGCCATGGTGACTTCCGGCATCCAGTACGCCGTCTTCATCATCTTCACCGGCGTAATGTGGCTTTTCATCGACAAGACGGGCCGCCGCACCCTTTTGGTCTACGGCGCTTTGGGCATGGGTTTCTGCCACTTCGTCGTCGGCGGCGTCATGGGTGCCCACCACGATAACGTGCCCGAGGGCGTCGGCGGCAACGCCAACATTGTCATCGCCGTGCACAAGGGCGCGCCCGCCAACACTGTCATCCTCTTTTCTTATTTGTTGATTGTCGTCTACGCCCTTACCCTGGCCCCGGTCTGCTGGATCTACGCCGCTGAAGTCTGGTCCCTCGGAACCCGCGCCACGGGCATGTCCATGGCCGCCATGAGCAACTGGGTCTTCAACTTTGCGCTGGGCATGTTCACTCCCCCTGCGTTTGTCAACATCACCTGGAAGCTGTTCATCATCTTTGGTGTGCTGTGCGTCACAGCCGCCGCCTGGTTCTGGGTCTTTTACCCGGAGACGTGCGGTAAGACGCTCGAGGAGATCGAGATCTTGTTTGGCGATGATGGACCGAAGCCCTGGAAGACCAAGAAGGGCGAGTCGAGACTTGCGGCGGAGATTGAGGCTGTTAAGGCAAGGAAGACGGTGGAGAATGAGATTGAGGTGCATGAGCATAAGGCTGGTGATGAGAAGGTTTAAGTTCGACTGAGAGGAAAGATGAAAGCTGTGTGGGGTGGTGTGGAGATTGTGCCTTGGAGAAGGTGATGTTGGGGGAAGGGAGTGTGATGTACTGTGTGGTTTGGTTTTTCCGTTATTAGTTAGCAAGATACCCGGAGCAGATGATATGATATGATTAATGAGATGAATATGTATATGTCAGTATGGCCTCGCCACGTCCGGTCGCTAGATCGTTTGTATTTGATCAGTGACTGTCTTGCTTGCTTGTGAACATCTCCCTACAAGAGGCTCGTTGAATCAGTCCAACCTCCACCCCTATCCAAAACTTCTTCGACTCTCTTTTTCCCCGCTAGTTGTTCGCAGTCTTGTCGTTATAGTAGTGTATCTATCGCATTCGTTAGCCCGACTCCATTCTCACTCAACACCACAATCAACACCACCACCACCACCACCACCATAACCAGCGGAAACACAAAGAAAGAGACAAAAACTAACCGTCTGATCCGCACACCCCGCCGGCGTCTGATACCCATAAGCCCCCGTATTCACAAACAGCGCCTGCCCTTTACAAACCAACCAAGCCGCGACATTCTGCCTCTTCACACTCGGCACGCTCCAAGTAAGCGTATCCCCCTGCCACGCAAATGTGCCAAACGGGTTTTTCGTGGCATTAAACCACGTCGCCAGCGTCCGGGGCGGGTTCGCCTTATCGGCCGGCTCCTCCACCCACATGTATAGCGCGGGGGAAGATACCTTGTTGACGAGCTGCCCGTCGATGATGTTGAATTGCCCTGCTGTGGTGTAGGACTCGATGAGGGCGGGGCCGGGAAGGTTGGCGGGTTTGGTTTGGAGGTATTTGTGGTAGTTGGGCTGGACGACGGCGCGGATCCAGTAGGCTCCCTGTTGCAAGGTGGTGGGGGTGGGGATGGATGTTGCTTGTGGTTGTGGCTGGGGCATGGGATCGGGGACGGGGACGGGGACGGGGACGGGGGAGGAGAGGGCTGGGTTTGTGAATAACAGGGTGGTGAGGAGGGTGATGCTTAGGAGGAGGGGGGAGAACATTTTGGCGGTGGAGGATTTGGTCTTTGGAGTTGGTAGACGGCGTTGATGGGAAGGTGGAAATCGTGCTATGCAGTGTCTACGGCACAATGGAGAGCTTATGAGTCTCGCGACGATACTTTGATGGGCGATGCTCTCTGCCCAACACTCCGCACAACGCGGATGGGACTTTTCCTCCACTGTTCCGAGTCCAGTACTGAACATGGCCCTTCCAGCAATCTATCTGGAATCCCGTAATCTAATCTGCCGGGAAAAGATCATCCAGCCGCTTACTGGCTACCCCAAATTAATATCCCGACCTCACTATACGGCTCTCTCCGCATTGTGCCGTGTCAATAACCGGAGGACGGGCGCGGAACCCGAAATCGCTTAGTGGTTTGTTGAGACAAAAAAAGAAAGAAAAAAAGAAAACGCTGCAACAATGAAAGTAAAGCAACTAGAGCTTCGGCCTGCTCTTGCCGTTGTACAGCCAAGGCAATGCGTCATGATGGCAATCACAGCTTGGGGGAAAGAGCGATTTGGTAGCTGGACTTTTCGTTCCTGCTTTCCTTGCAGTCGGTCGGCCAGCCGTGCTGAACCCGCGCGTGACCTATACAGCCAATTGGAAGTTGCGAATAGTAAATGGGCGGACATTGCAGTTTCCGAGATCTGAACAGTCCCCGGCCTTCAAAATTGCTCATCGCCGCGACCACTTTTTCTGTGCATTGGGCCTTCATCCGTGCAACGACTGTAGTTGTACTGAGTGCGGCGAACTTTGATCCCATGCCGCACGGCGGCTGAAGTAGGGCGGAAGGGACGTCTCCGGTTGCACCGCGGGCACTGAACATACCGCAGTAGTTTAAGTCGGAGACGGAAGTTGACATGGTGACTTTGGCCACCTACGTTGCACCTTCAGGGGTATGTCCTAACTCGATGCACTCTCACAAAGTGTCTCGATAGCCTTCACAGCCTTGGAGAACTTCTTCGTATTCCAGATCAAGCTAACGGATAAGCCAGAATTGGACTGTATATGCCCTTTGGTGTCGAGAGCACAATGGCCGACCTATTTGTCCCAGCGCTGAGAGAGTCTTGCAATGGAGGTAGGTAGTGTCCTAGAAATGAATCTCGTACGACGTATTGACGGCCCGTCCACATGAAGAAGACGATGAGACCATACCTCTGTGGATTCATCCCTTCACGTCTATGTGCCGTTGGCAATCACTTATGAAAGCATGATCAACAGCATCGACCGGGACCTGCATTTTGCCCCAGTTACCTGGCCACTCATTCGTTGAATTTTGGTCGTCCAAATGAAACCTCCGCCTACGAGGACGGAGGAAGCAATTCCGACTCTTGATGATGGCTTCATAGGCCGTCACTGAACTAGACGTAGAGAGCGACTTGAGATAAAAAGGCTTCGAGCGGGATGCCATGAAGATGTTTGTGGAGCTTCAGCGTCAAAGTGCCTAGCTCAGTGATCACTCCATCACGACGGAGAGGACGACTATCCACAATGAAGCTCCTCGACATCATTCTGGGCGCTATAGCCGTCGGTTCCGCGTTGGCGGCACCGGCCGGCGACAAGCCTACACCAACAACGACCAAGACCAGCAAGAGGGCAAGCAAGTTCCAGTTCGTCGGCGTCAACCAAAGTGGTGCTGAATTCGGAAACAAAGACCTGCCCGGACAGCTCGGCAAGCACTACACCTGGCCGGTACAGTCGACTATTGACGTGAGTAGATTTGGCTCTAACCCAGCCATTTCCCCGAGAGTGTCAATACTGACTTTGTTGTGATCATAGACTCTCATCGGAAAGGGCTTCAACACTTTCCGGGTTCCCTTCATGATGGAACGGCTCGTGCCCAACAAGTTGACCGGCAGTGTCAACACCACATACTCCCAAGGGCTTGAAAGCGTATGTGGAAGAATCGCTCCTTCCAATGCAGGTGTCCATCCATCCCTTCAGCTAACAACTCTCACACCTCGACAGATCATCCGGTACATCACCAGCAAGGGTGCCTATGCCGTCGTCGACCCGCACAACTTCGGCCGCTACTACGACAAGGTGATCACCGACGTAGACGGCTTCCGCGCCTGGTGGGCCACCACAGCCAAGCTCTTTGCGTCCAACGACCACGTCATCTTCGACACCAACAACGAGTACCACGATATGGACCAGAACCTCGTCTTCCGGCTCAACCAAGCCGCCATCGACGCCATCCGTAGCGTCGGCGCCACCTCCCAGTACATCTTTGTCGAAGGCAACTCGTGGAGCGGTGCATGGACATGGACCTCCTCGGGCAACGGCGCCTCCCTTTTGGGTCTGACCGACCCGCAAGACAAACTCGTCTACGAGATGCACCAGTACCTCGACACCGATGGCTCTGGAACCTCAACGAACTGTGTCTCTTTCACTATCGGCGCCGAGCGGTTACGCGACGCCACGGCCTGGCTGAAGGCCAACGGAAAGAAAGCCGTGCTGGGCGAGACAGCTGGCGGCTCCAACGCGCAGTGCATCAAGGCGCTGACGGGCATGCTGAGCTATATGCAGAGCAACTCGGATGTGTGGACGGGCTGGCTGTGGTGGGGAGGAGGACCGTGGTGGGGCGATTATATCTATGGGATGGAACCGCCTAGTGGGACAGCGTATAAGGGGGTTTTGCCCAGCTTGACGCCTTATATCTGAGTAATGAGGGAAGTGGTGAATGGTGATCTTGTGCAGCAATGGTGTAGCTGTAGTGATGGAGGTGAAGAAGATGGTGATGGCTGTAACGCTGGAAAGGGTATGTGAATGCTAAGGGGAATGAGTAGCTGGAAACAGTCCATGAAGTACAACCGCGCCGTCCGTAACAAATACTACGTTTTAGCGCCTTCTCATCCACGTAATGTCAAGTCAGTCAGCCTGTGGCCAGAGTCCTTGATTTTTAAATCACCGAAGGACAACTCTGCCCCATTGTGGATGTTCCAAAGACGCGCTGAAAGCTGCGGGGACTATCCAAGCAATCTGAGGACATTTTCGATACGCCACCCCGTCAACCCAATCAACGAGAATGGCAGCAAACAGCTGTGGGCATTCGTACTCATAACGCCGAGGCGTCCTTCCGGTGACCTTCTGCACATTGGTGACGTAGTCCTCTTCGCATACCACGTGTGAAATGTCTTCTTCATGACCCATTGGCGAGCCCGAGTGTCTGCCGCTGGCTACAAAGGGATAGGATCCGCGTGCTATAACAACAACATCCTGCCTTCCGTTTAATTCGGGTGGGTAAGTGTAGAAACGCTGTGGCCATTTTGGGCTACAGCATAGCGTGCCACACGGTATCCCGTACTTGTCCTGCAGATAAACAAAAGGGCTTTTCAATATCCTGCTTTGATACGGCGCTTTCTTCAAACGGAAAGAAGCACAAAGAGTGTAAAACCGAAGGGACCCTAGTCTTAGGGGGGCTTCCAAGCCTACGTCCCTGAACGGGTACTCGACGACTTGCACGTTGCCGCAGAGCAAGCGGATATCCTCCGGCATACAGACTTGAGACTTGTCGTGAAACGGGACGACCGACTCATAGCTGTCCTCAAACCACACAACCCATGATTCCAGCCTCGCGTAGAGTTCTTGAAAACGAGTGGTGATTTTTCCTTTCCACGCTACCCAGGACCACGTAGGATACGCATTACCCCGTAATACATCACCGGGCTCTCCAGTTTCCCAGAGTATTGTGATAAAGAATAGCATCGCGTGGCGAGGAAGGCCTATGTGAAAGCTGGATTTTGACCACGACGCGAGGGTCTGCAGAATTCCTTCGAATGCGCTGAGGGCATCTGACTGATAGGTTAATGTGCGTTTGGAATAGTCTCGTAGGCATATGCTGTAGCGGGCCAAGAAAGTGGGAATGTCCCTCGGAAACAGGTACACCTGTGACAGCTCGCGAAGCATGGCGCTTCCACCAAATGTTTCGCTGGTTCTCCTCCGCACGGCTTCATCAAGCCGATCGTAGGGGACATCTTCAAGTGTTATGTCCTCTCGCCAAAGCGCCTGACAACATTGGAACGACACGAGACCGCAGTTGAACGTCAGAGTCCGCCAGGCGAGCACTTTTTCCTGGTAGGCCCAACCCCGATCCTCTAATGGAGCCAGGCCTGCTTCCTCTTCTGCTTTCCTACTAGGCAAAGTGACGAATCTCATGCTATCCGAGAGACGTATTGCTTGGTGCCATGGGTGTTTCTGGTCTCGGGAAAGGAGACCCGCATCGGCATCGAGGCCACTCCTTGCCATGATAACAGCATGAGCAGATCCAAAAATCTCGTTCATGCGAGAAATTGAGGAATGCTTGTTTACTGCATCGTCCTGAACGATACACAATCGATCACAACCATAAATATTGCTCGTCAAGAGCAATAAGAAGTTTGATAGCATCCCTGATAGTCTTGGGGAGCATGCTGCTGGAGTAACTGATGCTTCCCGGTTGGCGTAGATGGTGGATATTGTGCTTGAGGGTTTGAAAAGTTGCTTGGCGACCCCAAACGTAACTGAGGGCAAAGTAGTGCGATAGTGAGGGCGTTATTTCTGTCAGACAGCCACGTTGAACATCGACTACCAGTAGTTTGTCACCTTCATAACCTGCTGGAAGCGTGAGTTGAACATGGCCACATTTGTCGCCATGTTCAACTTTGCATTTTGACAGCCAAGTCTTGATCATAGCAACTCTATGTTCCAGGGTCATCATTCGACCACTCCAGGTCAATGACTTGGTTCCAAAACCTGGAAGGTCTTCGTCAAGGGGTACCAGGTCGAACCTTGGAGATATACCGGCTTCTTCAGTCGAAAACTCTAACTTTCGAACATAGAAAGCAGGTGGTCGAGATTTGTTGGTTGTTTCAGCACGGGTATGATCGCAGTAGTCAAGAAGCTCATTGTATGGGAAGGGTTTCTTGAGTTTGGTCTTCATCATCCCGGTGTCTGCCTTAGCGTTGGAGTCGCCAGAGGGGTATCCAGGGTTTGGAGAAGCCATCACGGGTGAGGAGAGCTTCTTGAGTCGGATTTTCGCGTTGCCACGGATTCGGGGGTGATCAGAGGTGAGCCCAAACATGTCCGACAAAAGTTCGCAGAGGTTACAGCGAAGGCGGTTCTTGAAGATCGAGTTGATAGAGCCAATCTCAACGCAAGGGTCGTCGTTGCACCCATTATGATCCATTGCGCCCCTCAACCACATTTCCACGATGAGTGGACAAAGACCTTCACATCTTTCACAAAGATATTCCATCTCGTTTTGCCTCGTGGACCATTTGATGTGCCTGAGGAACTCATTCGGTAGAGGAGCTCCCATCTTGTAGTCTGGGTGTGTATAACAGATTCTGAATTTTGAGGGCGAGCGGAGAGGGTGAATATGTGTCGTCTTCGATCGTGGTAAGAGTACAAGCCCTATTATTCTCGAGTAGTAGCGGTTATGGGAAATACTGATTGGGGAATGGGCGAAAGAGAAGGAGAGAAGTGTTCCTCGGGTGGACAACAGGACGCTCAGGGCCTAGTGCAAGGCGAGGTGATGAATTGATATTCAACAAAGCCGCAACGCAGCGACAACAATGTTTGTAACCACATAAAGTACAAATTTGTCTGGGCTGCAGTAAGATAACTTGTCAGCAAGTAAACAACCGGATGACACAAAACACATAACAGTCGAGCACCTCTGAAGGACCTTCAGGAGGCGATGCCATCGCCTCGACTTCCTCCGCCTCTTAATACCGGCCGATGCCTTGAAGATTTGATTCGACTATGTCGTCACGTTTTCAAGACTTGGACCCTTAGTATCAGCAGCGAGGGGGCGTGGCGCAGCCACTCAGTCAGCCCTACCTTCGGCTGGAACGCTACCGCATTCGGAAATGATGTGCGTAAGAAACAATTCATTTTCTTGCATGGTGTTGGCGTGAAGATGATAAAGAGTAGCTGAGAGGCAATGCTAGATTTTGTGTACAATGTAAAAAATAAAGTGTTGGTGAATTAATGGAATGGACATAGTGAGGGAAAAGGTCGAAGGAGGTCGAAGATCTGGAGAAATGTTCGGATATCCGGTGGAAAAAGGAACCAGCCACTCAATGTCCTTTGTTTCCCTCCCAGTTCCAACTCACTCAGACATTCGTCTTGTACCTGCCCGACGATGGGCTCTTTCCTAGCGGTGGTTCCTTCTCTAACTGTCAACTAGTTCCTTCCCTTACTAAACTGCATCGTTCAAATACTGGCAGTCGCGAATTGACTGCAGAACCCAGCCAGATGCGCATGGGCCGAGATAGGTACGCTACTCTCTTAATTCCGGAACTACCGCAGCAGCTTCGACTTTACCGATCAAAGGGCATTCGACGGAATAAACAGGAAAAAAAATACTTCGCTGGGAAACCGCTTGGTGAAAGCCCAGATCGCTAGATGTTAAAATATTCGCTAGATGATCGCTTTCTCCACATATTCCTATTAAATGTTTCGCTATAGATATTCACTATTTCACTAAGGATACTCGCTGTTGTTCGCTGAAGTGAATATGCTACAGTGGGTGAGCCCACCATAGGAGAGTGCCCAGGACTTGCCTGGACAGCTCTCCCATAGCTAGCGTTTGGAAAGTTCGAACGGGCGACCTCCCAATTTGTACGCCGAACGCGGAAGGAGGGAGCAACAGGGGTAACCGCTGCACCACGAAACCATTTCTGACCGTTGTTACCCACTCTACGATTACACTAACCTTATAAAGGGCAATTTGGGCTTATGCATATTGCGAATTTCCCCAAATTGGAAAAAGTCCGCAACGTCTCGACTTCGGAGTTTGGACAACGCACCTTGAGCGAAGCAAAGACCAGAAAAGGAAAACACATCGACACGCTCACTCAGTGCTGGACAGGTTTTTTTTTTTTGCAATGCGTGTGAACTTGTTATTTATAGCGGATAACAACCCCGATACCCAAACGCCGTCGCTTCATGCTACATCCCAAAACAAAAGAAACAACAAAACCCGGAAACAAAACAACAACATGCTCCCCATGGATGTCCTTCAATCATCCGACCCCGACACAATCAGGAAGTATATCCCAAAGGCGTAACCCCCTGTCTAAACGGCCTCTGCAGACTCTCGATCTTCACCAGATCGGGCTTCCACACGCCCTTCGTCCGTTCACTATGCAACTTCAACCCCGGGATCCCCTCCGCCAGCCGATGAAACACCTCATGCTCCTCCGGCTGCACGCTCTTAAAGAATAGCGGCTCCCACATGATCCCCCTCTCCTTCTCCTCCGCTCTCATCCTCCTCTGCGCCTGCTCGACCCTCGTCTTCTCGTTCAACACCATCCGCATATCCCCATCCCGCATCCCCTTAAACACGCCCTCCCACGCCTTTCTTGACTCCCACGGATCCTGCTCCGCCAGCGGATCAATCACCATCGGCACCGGCTGGTTCTCGGGCGCATCGATATCATACACCTCCACCGTCTCGCCCATGCGCGGGTTTCGCACCTTCCACCCTCCTTCGCTCCAGCAGCCTTTTACTTCATACAGCGTCTGGTTTGACGGGTCATCTCGATGAAAAATCCTTGCCTCAAACGAGTTGCGCTTTCCCCTGATCATGCCTTCCCCCGTAAACCTGATCTCGGCTTGATACCCACTACTCCCAATGATCGAATACGTGCCCAGCACCTCGGGGTACATACTCCCTCTCAGAATCCCGCGCACTTGGGCATCCAGAAGCGGCATCAAGTAATCCTCCTCAAACCGATCAATATGCAACACTGCATGTCCGACCTGGCGGATATTGACCGTCCCGTTGAAACTCATCTCCACGCGCGCATACCCGGTCGACCGGATCCCGTGCTCGGCGTCGCTGACGTGCATGGCCGTGATGGGCGGGTGGTGGCTGACTTGCTCGGACACCAAAGTGGTGGTGCATTTCTTCTCGGCGTCGGTCCAGGAGGCGAGGAAGAGCTCGCCGAGGAAGGCGTTGAGCGGCTTCTTGATGCTGCTGTTCTTGGAACCTGAAGAGCCAATGTAGAGCTGCGATCGCAGGGCGACGAGGAACCATTTGAGGACGAGGAGCATGCGCTTTTCGGGGTCGGATTCTAGTGAAGGGGCGGCGAAGACGGAGGGGCGTTGCGCCCAGCAGTGGCCTACTTCGACGACGGAGGAGGGGGCGAGGAGGTGGGGAGGGCCGGTGATGTTGGAGAGGTCGCCTTGGACTGTTGCTAGGAACTGGAGTAAAGAGGTGTGTTAGTGATGAATGGCCTTGGAGCAAACAATGCTAGCAAGCAGGTGGGTTGGCAGAGGGTGGGTAGAAGAGGAGAGGGATGCGTACTTTGGCAAGATCTCGTACTCGAGACCCGACTGATTTGTGATCCATGGCTGAAGAGGGTTGGTGAATGTAGGTCGGTTACTGTGAGTTGTGATACTCAACACACAAAGGAATTGTGAGGTCCGACGGAGGTTTATATCAGATCAAATGATCGTCCCGACGTTGACGTTTTGTATCCTTTCCACTTGGGCCTGCCAAGATGCGATGCGCCTGTCAGTTGATCTTGGTCGCTTAGCTTCGATCTTATTGTGCTTGTTAATTGTTGATGTATCGGTTCGGTTGGTGGAGTACGGTACGGTACAATATGCCTGTCGAATAGGTATCCAAACAACTTAAAGCGTGGCTATGGTATTATGGGTTGATGTCGTCGTCGTTGTTCGTTGTTAGTGGGTTTGCCAAGACGGCATGTGTAAGTGATGTGTAAGTCGATCTTGGCTAGTCGATTCCGATCTTTGTGTAACTTTTGGTGTTGATGCATCGACCGTTGGGAAAATCGAAGCGAAGGGGGTTGCAGCCGGTAAAAGAAACAACACAATGGAAATCAGGAACAGCAGAAACTAAAAGAAGAATAAGCGCCGTGCTTATTTGCGAAAGACCCGTGTGTCAAAAAACATGAAGTTGAGAATAGGTTCTACGCAGGATTATATCTGAGCACTCGGACCCTTGGTGACTCGTGGGTAAGGGGCATCGGATCGAGTTTCTGTTTCACATCTGTCGCGAACTTGCGATATCTGTCGCAGCTCCTTCGCCTTATAACCTGCGATGAGGAATTTCGTTCCTCTATTATTATAGAGCTTGGGATCCCTAGCCAACCAGTTCGTTCATCTAAGCGTCTCGTCTTTTACCTTGTCACTATGCGCTGGAGTGCTTAAACTGTATCCAAACTCTCGATCATGATGGGTTGTGACTACCACTTACACGACCTAACTCCGTCCGGCATATGTACACAAAACATTACCTGAGCATGACACAACCTACCGTCAACGCATCACTTGCCGTGACATCGGCGTCGTGGCATCATGGCATTTTGACAGGTCCCCTTCCTGGCATGTTCATCGAACACATCGAATCGAACCTGTCGGAGACTTTTCCTCAACTTCCTACCGTGACGCAGATCGTGGGAATTCCGGGATTCCGGGCGCTATCAACGTAACGTGTGGATGCTAAGAAAGATGCACTGCATGCGCCACTAACATTACATGTCGCGTGGTGAGGCATCTTGATGAATTTTGGCGAGGAAGTTGACGATGAAAGACTTTAATTGCGCCCACCTTATACTCACATCTCAGTAGAAATGACTCCTCCACCGGTTCATCCTTTTCGGTTTCATTACCGGTAGAGAGCCCAGCGAGAACCGCCCCGATACTCAGGTCGGTATTGACTGCCGGCCCGGGTGTCACGGTATGTATTTTGTAGTGTATGACGGGGCCACCTCCGGCGCCGACGTCATCACAGCTGGACCCCTGGACCCCTAAAAACTTGGACATGTTTAGCGCCTTTATCACTACCAGTACCTCAAGGCACAGAACAAAAACACAAACTTTTGGAGTCGGAACAACAACGAGGGGAGCCAAATTAAATCAAAGTGGTAAATTGATAGCTGATTAGATTGGAAGGTCGAAGAGTGGAAGAAGGACGGTAGTGCACCGCTGAATCCCGCCGGCTCAAATACCTACAGTGGGAGAAGCAGTATCACAACCTCCAAGGTCGAGAGCCTCAAGAAACGGAACACGGGGCGGGAGTTGTGCCCTGAAACAACAGAGCTCGACTGCCCGTTGGGGCTAAATGGGATATCAACCATAACGAGTTTCCTTTCCTAACTCTACGTACCGATGTCAACGTCTGGTTGACCAGCTGTGAGCCTGTCTCGTCCGGACCATCCGGGCCTGTAGGACTGTACTGTCATCGATGACTTCACCTTCTTGCAACGGCCTCGGGTCTCTCTTCTATATGTCGCAGATATATGAAGGCGCTTATCTCACTCTGTCGGGTGCATTGGTTTTGATGTATGGAACACGGGCATCATTGGTCTCGTTTGATCGCCAACCGCCCTTCCAATCCGCGAGCCCGTGTCTGCATATAATCAAGTTGTCGAGGGCGGCAAATCCAAGAAAAAAACATGGGAAAAAAGAAAAGCCCCCAAAGAAAACATGGGGTAAAATAGAATTTAGGAACAGAGAAGGGCGAGAAGGGCGGGAAAAAAATGCAAAAGAGAAGATGTTGTTGAACATCGGGAAAATTGAGCCCGACGTGGGGGTCGAACCCCACAACCTTGAGATTAAGAGTCTCACGCTCTACCGATTGAGCTAGCCGGGCAGCTTCAAGCTGCCATTGGTGGTTAAAGTTGGGCCAGAACTTTGTCATTAAGAACGTACTTCGAGGCATTCGCACAGCCGTTGTTGGATGAAGCATCTGATAATGTGTACAGACATGGTTGAACCTCATGCTCGATCCAGGGGCTTTAAATGTAGTTAAAGAGCTCTTTATTATCTTTTATTATCGTCGTCGTTATCAGCAGATGTGTCCGACTTGATGTGCCATCTGGTTTCCCCATGGTAGTCAGTAAGTGCCTTATCCCCAAAGCCAACCATAACGCCATCTATCTTATCCATCATCATCTCCCGAGTTCAAGCATTACTACACAAGGTATTCGCCAAAATCATCCCGCTCAGATCATCCCAGTCCCATGGTATATCCAGCGGACTTCCTTCCCAACATCAGCAAGCATATTATGCTTCGCATTTGTGCTCCAAGCTGTTATGCAATTGCCGATGACCGAGCCCCAAATCCCAATCCCGCTTTAGGTTTGCTTTGAATATTCTCAGCTCTCTGATTTCTCCCAAGTGCCGGATGGAATGCGGCAGGCGTTGAGGCCAAATTGGAGGGCTGGTCAGTCGTGGAGTCAACACCGGTGATTACATCACCAAGATCACTGTCGATACCCCGTAAAGACAACATCGAAGTGATGTCCTCGCACGCGTTTCGCGCGCCCCCACAAATGCACTTGTGGAGTGACAGCAAGGTCCGTGATGGGCACGTCCCTGATGTACCCATACCCATCAGACCCTTAAATCTAGCGTCATGCAGGGCATGATGCCTCTATGATTAAATACCTTTTTTTTGTTGTACGTGGCCTTTAACTCTCAAGGTTGGGCCACTGGATCTTGTTGCAGACCTTCTCCTTCTCGGTCCACTCCTTGATCTTTTCAACGTCCCATCCACTGATCGTCTGCTGCGCCCCTTCTTTCTTGGGCACCGGCTTCCCCAGGATGAAGGACTTGTGCATGGCACACTTTCCATCCTCGTACTTGTATTGCACGCAATCATCGGGGGGCAAGCTTTTGCACGCCGCTTCGCAGTCAGAGGCTGACCGGTGGGCAACCTTTTCCAGTTCGTTGTATTCTTCCGACTTCTTCATGCGGTGGAGCGTACCGTCGTCCCATTTCTTTGCGGCGAGGTCGACATAGAAACGGTCGTCGGACTTGTTGTCCCAGTCGAGCTGCTCGCGCTTGAGCTTGGGTTCGAGATATTCGTGGTAGATGTCCTTGATGAGAAGGGGTCGCGGATTTCCGGATGCGAGCTGCTCTTTGCGGAAGCGGCGCTCGAATTCCCAAAACGTGTTGATCTCTTCGCTATTCATGTGATGCATCGTGACGATCGGGTGGCACCAATGCCAGGGACCAAACGGAAGCGTCGCGGGTTTCTCGCCGTTAATGGTTGGCCACTGAAACGCAACATCGGTTAGTACGAGTGCCTTGTTTTCGTGCGCGGCAGAAGAAGAAAACTCACCATTTGTTCGACAGATACGTCAGCATTGTCCTTGAGCGCCAAGGCAAAGACGTAGTCTCCGCAGCATTCGCGCTTTGCGCGCAAGTCGTACCTTTGTCCCACACCAGGATTCTCTCCGACGAGCGCCTTCATCGAGGCCTTGCTGACAATATAACCCGACCCGCCATGGCCGAAGCTGAAGCCCTGGATCAAGGTGACACTGCCAAGGTAGTGCTTCTTGTTCGGGTTCAGTTTACCTAGCCATTGTACCAGGTTGGGCCACAGGACATATGTGTCGGCGTCTACAAAGACGTACCAGTCGTAGTCTGGGCGCAACTTGTACGTCTGCTCCGCCATGTGGACATTCTTATACTTGTCGAGATTCCAGCCTTCGGTCGCGGGGTTGCCCTGCTTGTTGCAGCCTTCGACGTCAACAGGGCACGCCTTCTGGCGACGGTACAGGTCGAAGTCCGAGTTCCCCTCCATGGCCTCGGCTGACACGTTGGACAAGCTGTCATACACCTGGTATCCGCCAATCTTCTGTTCCATATCGCTAAAGATGAGGAAATCGGGCACACATTTGAGCACCGTCAGAAGCTGGGTAGGCACGCGGTTGAAGGACTCGGACGCGCCCGTCTTCATGACGACCAGAATATTGTCGGGAATCGGGTAGCCGGCGCACTCTGGGTTCTTCGAGGGATGTGGCCTCGGGCCAGGAGCATTGTGTTCCGGCGGCGGTGGGGGACCATGGGGACCATGGCCATCAGACTGGTAGAGAGGGTCGTCGACGGCAGCCCAGCCACCGAGCCGCCTCGAGGTGGCCAGGAGGAGAAGCAAACTGATTGTCGCACATAGTGCGATGGTAATGGATTTGCGCGTGAACATTCTGGGCAGCGTGGGTATGTAGAAGAGGCTGTCTTGGCCACGACGGGGCGTCTTGATCATTTGAAGGGAAACGGTTCAGGTCGCAGTCGCATAGAAAAAAGGCAGACGTCATGCCACTCTCTAATTCCCCATTGAACAGATCCACCAGGTTCGACGATCGCCTGGAGAACCAAGAAAGAGGTGGGTGAAGGTGTATCTTTAGGTGGTGCCTTTGGTGGAGGGCAGCAGGGGCAGCGAGTGGAAATCAGGACCAAGCTTGTCTCTTGTGATGGCGCGAGCCGGGGATCTTTCAGGTGGGCTCGGCACAAAGTTTAAACATCGACGCCGGAATGCAGGGGTTGCGGGGCCTGGTTAAATTTGGAAGGAATGGAGAACGTGGGAATGTGGCAGAGTGGACGCTAGACAGGGCTGAAAGGGGAATTAGTGAGCGACTAGAGGTAACAAATACGAGCCCGCCATATCAGGACCCGCGCCTGAATGGTTGGAGATATCAATGGCTCGAAGAAACCGGCCAAGCGGACGGAGAGGCGAGTCAAGGCCATTCACGCATGTTGCTTGTTCGAGGTAGCAAACCGACAGATGTAAAGGTGTGGGTGAAGCATAAGGTCTCTACAAGGAGGCGAGGGGGGAGACGGAGGGGGCGGTGTCGACTTGAAAAGGGCTGGAAATGTCTCTCATCGGAGGTTGAATGGACTGACGACGGAGCACACGGTAGAGTAAATAAAATAAGCTGTCTTTCCGTGTCTCATACACGTTGGTTCGTGGTGTGGGTGGGTGGCTCTCCTCTGCATGGAGCCTGAACGGGTACACACCCAGAACAGCTTGGCGGCCGTTGACAGGAACGGGATGCTATAACACGGGACGAGTCGTCCGATGTCAGAGCCGGGTCGCCGGTACCTCTTGGTCTATGGAGGATGACGCGCCGGCCTGGTATCGGTAACTTGGCTGCGAGGTGCTTGGAGATATTGGGTTTCCTCCTGTATGGTCACTCTGTCCAAGGGATTGGAATTGACTACAAAAACCGAATCACGATGTCGGAGGGCGTGGGAGTAGTGTAAGTACAAATGCCGCGGTACCTGCCAATCGAGGCATGGACAACGATGTGGCTGCCGCCCGTTTACTGCTGTGATTCGCATGTAATCGCCAAACACTGCGATGATCCCTCTCCGATCCACCAAATTCCAGGGCAGACTCTCAGGGGAAGCAAGGCAAGATGAAGATCCCGAGGTCGTCTTAAACAGAGTGTGTGAGGCGCCCTTGTTTCAGAACGAATTGTGACTGTTGATCGCGTTGATGCTCATCAGCTTTATGTTATTCACTCAAGCAAACTCACATGTTCCAAACTGAACATGTTCAGGGAGATTCCATTCTCTTCGTCCTTTACTCTTTTTCAGATTGGTGCCTGGAAATGTTCCCAAAACGCCCTAACGCAAGGTGCAACCGGCTAGGCAGGCCTAGGGTCCCCACACCCACCCGCGGGGCCGCGGCCGCCTGTCTTCTACACTACATATCGTGTAGAGGTAAGGTATGTACGCAGTAGGCCGCTCCTGCCAAAACACCCGCCAAACTGTTAGACATCCCACCCTAATCTTTTTTTTTTTTTTTTTTTTTCCAACGTTACCGTTGGCAGTCACGAGTCTCTCTCGAGATGCGTATCGTGTCTCGAGACAACGAATCCAAAAGGTTTCTTCAAGAACTTGAAGCATGAATACTGAAACTCAATTTTCGTCTTGAGACGAACATGACTCTTTGATCAACACTTTTCGTTATGTCTGTCCTCTTCCTTGGTTTCCAGCTTCAATTTCCACTCAACTTTTGTGAGGGAACACCCCTGCAGTTGGCCAACGCCTGGAAAGGTCTGCACTGCACCAAAAAGGGGCACATGTACACATACTTGCACACGGTAGGGCCCCCGATGCGCCATCGGTTTGATAGTGTCAAGTCTATCTGGCAGCGCCTACCTATTCCGATCGATTCCATGTGCTAATTCCATCCATCACAATTCACAGAGCGCTAGCCAGTCAGAATTCGATGCTACTCTGACAAGAATACGAGCGTTCGGTAGAAGTTCAACGACCAATGAGCTTCCACTCCCATCAGCGGACATACGGTACCGGCCGCCATAAACCAGTCGTTTTGCCATTGTAGCATTTCTGCCATGCTGCTTGACTCCGGCGAAGAGGACCCGGGCGGCCGTCTCAACAATCCCAAAGACAGACAATGGCGACCGCTAAGCTTCATGGAAATCAGTTTCAACCCAACTTGATGTCTGCCGCGGCCGCCACCACCGGCCCGCCTTTGGTGGTATTGTTGTTGGGGCGGTTTTCGGCGGAAATTGGAAACAGACAGCCACATTTCGGGACAGGAACCAGGCCCGTGCCACATCATCACCGATTGCCCTGGGCTGGGCGGCCTTCGGCGGTCTAGACCGCTAGGGCCTGGAACTTCAGGGCAACGCTAGTGACGCAGGCCTTTGGACCACGGAGGATATCTGCCAAGCTAAAGCAATGAAGCCATCGCGGGATCACAACATGACTGTTTACACTTCCACAATTTTCTATCCTAATACAGCCAGCAGATGCGTGCCGGTGATGGAGGGCGAGGAGCTTATGAGATAGGAAGACGAGAAAGCTGGAAGAAGCTGGTAAGAACCACACTACTCTCAAGCTCCGTCTTCCTTCAAGGTGATGCCATCCGCGGCAACTTTGCCCGTGGAGGGAGTATGCAGTTAAACGGGCAGTCTCTGCACGCGGAGACAACTATGCCCCACCCACTGTCAATTATGATGTTTGAGGTGACCGCGAACGGGCATTGCCTTCCTGCCTTTACAACCACAACAACAATCACGATCACAACTCCGCGTACGGTGCCTCCGATCATGAAAGAACCGCATATCCCAACCCAATGCCAAGTCGAATCGAACTACCACCTACATACTACGAGTCTACCCGACTAACCCTGCCTCGCCTGCTGCTGCTGCCTCCCTAACTCCTCTCGAAATACATTACTATTCCCTCTTCCAACTTGTGGTGGAGAATAGTCGGACTCGTAAGTCGGAGGACTCGTCGGCCTTCTCGTGGGCGGTGACCAACTCGACCGATCCGTAAGCTCGAACACACCGCCATCGACACCACCACCGCCTCCCGCTGCCGCTGCCGCTCCCGACCCTGACTTGATGGCTTCCTCGTACGCGGGAGGATCCGAGTCCACTCTTGTTGCCCCAGCAGTGTTGCCCGGCGCGGTGCCGACACGTTCCGAATAGCTCTGGCGGATGCCGTATCCGTTTCTGCCGCCGCTCGCTCGCTTGGCCCTGCCGAATAACCCGCCCAGGAAACCACCGCCGCCGGAGAACAAGGGAGGATTACTGGGTATTGGACCCGAGCCTGAGGCAGAAGAGGAGTTGCGATTGCGATTGGGATGGATGGTGGGGGTGCCATTGCGCTCCTTGCGTTTTCTGTGGACATACATTATTACGAGAAGGAGGAGGCCGACAAAGGTGATGGGGACGGCGATGGCGACGGTTTTTTGGGTGGACGACATATCACTATCTGGGGCGGGGGCAGGGGCGGGGGCGGGGGTGGTCGGCCAGTCGTCCTCGTCTTCTGCAAACAAATCCTCCTTGTCGGTAACCCAAACCACCGGGCCGGGGATGAGTCCCTTTTCGCTCCTGACTTCGTCGAGATTGTAGAGGATCAGGGAGATGTTGACGCCCGTGGGATTGTGTCTTTCCCTGAAAGTCCAGGGCTGGTATTGGCTCCACCAGGAGTCATCAATATACCAGTAGGCAAAGCCCCGGTCGGCATTGGATTTTACTAAAAGATCCATGTGGATGATCGACTTGTCGGCTTGGAGAAATTCGATACGGACGCCGACTGTTTCTTTTGCTGGTTCGGCGAAGTAGGAGGGGTCCCATACGACTGTTTTTTTTTTCCGGTTACGGGGTAAGTAAAATGGTCGGTATCATATGGAAGAGAGGTAAATGGGATTTCTCACTGTAGTACCCCTTTCCAGGCCTCAAGACGGTGTCCCGCTTGGGTATGCAAAACAAGGGCTTGTCGTCGTCGTCGTCGAGCGACTGCACCACATTCTCGCATGCCAAGTAGTCGCCTGTTATGTTCCATTGGGATATGCCCGTCGGGGTTGGGTTGACACCGGTGTAAGTGACTGGCTTGGTACCGCCCTCAAGGCTGGTGTATACGCTGGATGCGGTAAGGTAGTCTGGCGGTGCAGACAGAGCAGTCGGTGCTCCGTTGGCGTCCACCGTAGGGGTGGGAGTTATGGTCGTGAAATGGGTGCTACCGGCGTGTTCTGTGGCGCTGACGTGCACCCAGACCAGAGGACTTGGGCCGACAATTGTTTCTGGGGCTTGAGGTTGTGGTAAGGCGTTGGCGAGGCCGGCGACTGTTGCCGCGATCGCCCGGAGGGTAGACCGTGGACTCATCTTGGGATGTTCAAACAAGGCTATCCCCAAGCTTGACTTTGGCGGTGGTTCAGAATCCTGGGGTTGATGAAGACTACCTCTAGAGACGAGATGAGGTGATCCGCCCGAAACTCAGGCACGGTACAGCTACCTTTTGTTGTGCTTCCGTCGTTTTGGGAATCCCACTCTATTTACACCGTATTAGGACCAAGTTTCACAGCCCCCAGAGGGTGCTTGGGTGACACATACATTGTGGACTGCTGACAACCGCGGTCCGTCTTCTCACGATTGAAGAATCCGTCCCCCTGGTGTTATATGGATGTGCCCGATGGGTAGGATGGGCCGAAGTTGCTGCCAACGCCACAACTCGAAATTTGGGTTCTCTTATGTTCTGGTGGCCGGATGCTGCTAATCCCTGCGAAGTAAGCTAAAGGGTTGGACTTGGAGCGCTTGGAAGGCTTGGTGTTGAGTCTAGGTCCCACGGGCAGGTTAGCGCTTCTTGGCTTCATCAGGCAACGATAATAAGGATAAGTACCCGTCGGCATCTCCAATAGGATGAGACTTCAAAAACGTTTACTGTACCAAAAAAGGGTTTCCAAGTAACACACAAAGATTGAGCGAGAATATCATCATTCTAGTGTAGAAGGTAGGGACTGAAGCAGTATTCGCAGAATAACTGACAGCCTTGATGCGCCAGATAACCATCAGCGACGACAACAAGGACGACGACGACGGGGATAGCGACAGAGTAAGGTAAAAAAATAAAAATAAAGACATAACTCGACCACATGATTATATATAACCCCTGCCCTTCTCGTTTTCCTCCTCACAAACGGTAACAAGCGCCTATATATCCCAGCAACATGTCGAACAGCACCTACATTATCATAATACCCAGGATGGCCCGATTACAACACCCGTTACCACTAAAGCAATAATCAGAGCCGACGTCGACATTCCCTTTCCAACTCCTCCCGCATTCGTTGCCGTTTTTTTCCAATCCGGATTCGTGGTGTTGGGCGCCTTGGCACAGGACATCCAGCCAGCACTATCATGAACCTCGCCACTAGAGGAGAAGTGCGTCCACGTTATCACCACCGGCCATACCACCCGCTCCAAAGCCACGAGCGCTGTCGCGTTGTTTTTGCCAGTTGGAGCTGACCCCGCCGCGAAGAAGGGATATCGTCGGTTGGTTTGGTCGAAGAAGCTGTTGTTGACCTCTTGAAGAAGTCATCAGGTTAGCACAGGATCAACATCTACTCCATGATATCTCTCGACATCAACATGGGACAAAAGACTCACCATACCCAACCCCAACCGCCCCCCCAAAATACTCTAAACAAGCATCCGGAACCACCAAACTCGCACACTCCCGTCCCCTTGAGGTATCGGTGCCGTTCGCAACACTACCAACCTGCAACTCCTGGATACACTCACTCGGCAGTAATGCCGCACAAGTACCATCAAGATCCAATCCCTTCGTCCGCGCCTCCTCCGTTTTGTCCGTCGCCAACCCACCCACAAACACAATCGCGCATACCCGCCAGCTATCCTCATCCACACTTTCTATAAGAGAAGGAGGCACAAGCGACAACACCGCCGCTTCGGTGACTTTGCTCTTCTTATCTTCCACTGATATACCAGAGGAGTCGGAGGCGTTGGTTAAAGGTATGTTGGCTGCCACGGTAATCTGTAGTGACCAGCCGGAGATTCCATTGCCTGTGGCGTCGGCTGGGCCCGCAGGGATGGAGGTGTTATAGCCTGTTGTTGGGAAGGAGGCGTTGGAGATGGAGGAGGCGATAGCGTCCGCGAGGGACGAAGCGGGAAGGCCGAAGGGGGGGTCGGAGGAGAAAGAGCCGGTTGTGAGACTGGGACTTGGGGAGAGGGATTGGGCTGAGGAGACCTCTACATATAGGGATAGTAAGAGAAGGAAGGAGAGGGAGAGGGAAAGGCCGAGAGGGACATGGAGTGTTGTTTTGAGGTTGGCGAGCTTCAACTTCAGGGTTCTAACCATTTTTGCAGACGGAATCAAGTGCGCTGGGCTTTTCGGTAGGTACATGTACGACGAAGCTTCAGGTTGTGGCCTCCATGTCCCGGAACTCGAATGGTCACTGACGGACATCTTGCAAACAACCTGGAGGAATCGGTGGCCCTAGGGGCCCGAAACACCTGATGCGTCATGGGCACAAGTCAGATGTCAAAGGTCATGTACCTCTAAGGCAGGCACGAACAACGGAGGCGTCTAGGCGAAAATGCAAGGCGCGCGCGTGCAAGATGTTTTCGTAAGCCACGTTGCGTCTCTCTCTCCCTATATCTGCTTCCTACGGAGAAGCACATTGGTATTGTATTCACCCTCGCAGCCAGCAGTACCTCACATTCCTGTCCTCTCTCTTTCCGATCGATCTCGGAGTTGAGCGTCCTCTGGTCGCTCTGAACGTGAAGACTTCAAAGTTGTAAACCCCTAAGCATCACCAATGTTTCAATAACACGTTGGAACCGGAAACAATTGCGAAGATTTTCATTTCTGACAACTCTTTACTCAATTTCTCCGCAGATGTCTACTCCTACGTCCCTGAAACATCATCACCTCAGTCGGCGTTTATTTGACGGTGGTACATACCTCTAGTGGTGGAAAATTGTTAGATGAAGGAAACGCAGAAGCTCTCCAGGTCAGATACGCGCGTGGTGGATAAGACCAGCTCCGGGCTAAAACTGGCATCAATAACTAAACAGCGCCAGTGGTTTAGTGGTAAAATCCATCGTTGCCATCGATGGGCCCCGCGTTCGATTCGCGGCTGGCGCAATTATTTTTCACCTTTTTTTTTTCATTTTGTTTCCTTGAGAGCCGCAGATTACACATCTGAAATGCAGTTTCTTTTTCTGTTTTGGATTGTTGGTTTTTTTTCCTGGTTGTTCTTGGTTTAAAGCTCAATTGTTGAACTACATTTGTCATTGTTTTTCTTTCTTCCGAAGTAGAGGTACCGGCACATTGTTTCGCTTTGACATCCTGTTTATTACTCTTCAACTGGGTACATCGGATGATAACTCCACCTCCATCCAATCTCGAACGAACCGCTCGTTGTTGGCACATTGACATTGAACATTGGACATCATCGTGGAAATGTCTAAGCGCTCCTAGCGCTCCACGAACTTCGTGGATTTTTCGGACAATGGTGAGAGAGCACAGAACTGCGATTACAAATGGACGTCTTGTCTCTTTCACTGGCTTGTTGATGAATGCTGTCAAGCATGTAATGTCATTAGCGCTGAGCCGAATTTTATTCTCCCCAGGAGCAACAAACACAAGACCATTGCAATTTGTTTTCTGAAAATTGATTCCATTTCCTTGCCGGACTTCTAAGAGCCCAAGAAATCTACCTATTCTAGAAACCACCACCACATGTATCCGATTGTATTGTTTTTATCATCTACCATCTTGTGTAGATTCTAACCAAACAGAGAGAAAGAGAGACAGAGAGAGTATTGAGAAGAGACGAGAAAAAGTGAGAGAAATAAAATAAAGGACATGATTCATTGACATGACAAAACCTTGAAACCCCGTTTCACCTTTTTCCATACACCGTTGTTGTGACTGTGACCGTTGTCTATCACCACCACCTCCTCCATCGTCATCGTTGTGCCCTTATTAATATCATCTGGTATCATACCCGTCGTCTCAACGGCCGTGTCCGGATTAACATGCACATCCGTTTCCACCTCCACTGCACCGCGTTTACTCCTGCACCGACATGTTACGGGGAGGCCTCGCATTCGCAGCCGCCACGTAGTGACCCCACGTGATGAGTTCCTTGCTGCAATCGTCCTGATCAATCGTGCACTCGATGAGCGTGGGGCCCTCCTTGTGTTCCGAAGCCGTCTTGATCGCATCGGTGAGCTCGCCGGCGGTATTAGCCAGAAGACCCTTGGCACGGCCATCGGTGCTGTTGAAGGCCTGGACGAGCATGGCGTAGTCCCAGTTCTTGATCTTGTTGTAAGAGCCGTCGTGGATCTCGACCTCGATCGTGTACCCCCTGTTGTTGATCAGCAGGATGGTGATGGGCACCTTGTAGCGCACCATCTGCGAGACCTCCTGGGCCGTAACCTGGAATGAGCCGTCGCCGATCAGCACGATGGTGTGTCGGTCCGGATGGCGCAAGGCGTACCCGAAGGCCGCCGGGATCGACCACCCGATGTGGCCCCACTGCATCTCGATCTCGAACTTGGCACCGGGGGCAGCTTCAGCTGGATGCCGTTGAACCACGAGTCGCCCGTGTCGACGAAGAGAGAGGTCTTGTCCGTCAACAGCTCCTGTACCTGGCGCGAGATCTCCTTGCGCGTGAGCGCGTCCTCCCGCGCGGCCGTGTGCACGTGCGGTGGGTCGGGCTTAAGCCGCTTGTACTCGATCATGGTGGTCTCGTTGAAGGTGACCTGCGTGGCCAGGTGGCTGAGGAACTCGCCCATGCGGACGCGGCTAAAGTGCGCGCCAGGGAACGTAACATGGTCCATGTCGATGGACATGAGCGGGATGTCAGGCACGGCAGTCCATCCGACGGTGCTGTAGTCGTTGAAAATAGTGCCGACGCAGATCATGGCGTCCGCCCAGTGCACCATTGAGTCTGCGGCATCGGAGCTGACTTGCCCCCAGAAAATGCCGACGAACTGCTTGTGGTCTTCCGGGAACATGCCCTTGGCCGCGGGTTGCAGGGCCACGGCACATCCCATGGCTTCGGCGAACTGCAGGAGCTCTTTCTCGGCACCGGCACGCCCGAGCTTGGGGCCGACTAGGATCACGGGCTTGAGCTTGCCGTCAAGGTACTCAGAGGCGCACGTGGCGGCGGCCTCGAGAGCGTTCTTGTCGCTGGTGATGGGGTCGTGACGGCGCTGATGGGCCCCGGGCGCACACAGGTAGCTCCGGCGAGGTTTGTGGGGATCTCGATGTAACATGGCTTCCGGGCGAGGATGGCGGCGCGGAGGGCGCG